GTGGAGTAGTAATTTGGGAGCAGCTTGGCTGGGCCATCAGAACTGGGGTCTCTCACAGAGGTGTAGTCGAGATGTTGGCCAGAAACTGTGGTCACTTGACTGGGGCTGAAGGATCTGCTTCCAAGGCAACTCACTCGCAGTTGGCCTGTGGATGCTAGTTGGTGAGAAGCCTCGGTTTTCTACGTCTGGGCCTCTTCACAAGGCAAATCGAGCGTCCTTATGACATAGTGGCTAGCTTGCCCCAGAATAAGTAATCCAAGAGGGTAAGAGCCAGGTAGAAACTGTCCTTATTATGATCTTGCTTCGGAAGTTACATAGAATCACTTCTGAAACATTCTACTGATTAGAAACAAGTAACTAAGTGTAGTCCGCATTCAGGGGAAGGTACATTCAGTTTCACCATTTGAAGGGAAGTATATCAAATAATATATGGACATTTTTTACCACAACCTGTTAGGTTACAGAGAAAAACTGCAAAGTGTCCAATCCAGTTTCAAATATAGTTCAATATCATCCAGTTCCTTTAGATAGTGTAAGGTTCCTATGGATAAAAATGCTTCATATTTAATAATACATCTCATCTTCTCTGAAAATGACATTCATTTGTGTGGGGGCAGAGGGTAATTACACATCCTTGTGATGAGAGAGAGAGTACATTCTGGCTTCATTCTGGACCTAGAGTGTGTCCTGATTGTTGCCTTTAAGTTTCTAGCACGGTACTCCTTTTCTGTCTGATCCTTGAGGAACATGCTGTCCTGTGATGCTGAAATCTGCAGCTGGTGAACTCATGGCCCATCTTTGGCTTCAGGCAAATCTCCCAGGGAGTATTGGCCACCTCCCCTTGCAGACTCAGTTTCCCCTTAGTCTCTGGGCCATTACTTGGCTGTAGCAGGCCCACTGGCTGTTAGCTCAGTATCCCTGAAGGGAACAGGAAGGGTTTGGGATTATTGGTTGCCCTATCTCTGTCTGACTATGTTATTGTGGACTTTACCCAAACAGCCATAGAAAATGCAAGAAATGAGGTATGAGGGACTTGAGCAGTGGTCCCATAAGAAGAATAAAGGGTAAAGGCAGAGATCCCTTGTCCTGAGCACTGCTCTCAGGGTGGAGGTAACTCACTATTTCATGGTACTGACTTTTTGATGAGTCCAAGGTAGCTCTCTTATAAAATATTCTACATTCTTGATTTGGCTGATTATTTCCTCATGAGGTCTTATAACTCATTTGTCCAACCCTGACTTTTTTATTTTTAAAAACTAGACATTATGTGTAAATATTTTATTAGATTTTGGTTAAACATTCTTAGAATACTTAAGGTCACATTGCATCACGTGAGGCATAATTTCAGGTGGTCCCACTATTAGTAATGCTTAATTTGGTCACTTGGTTAAGATGTTGACTCCCCTCCAGTCTCATCATTGAAAAAGGACACGTTTCCCTTTGTATTAGTTTATAATCTACAATCTGTTCTCCAACAACTTTTCATCTTATGGTTTGAATACCTATTGTTACCTTTGCCTGAATCAGCCATTTCACTGGGGCCTGCATTCTTCTGTAAAGAAGAGCTTTCTTTTAAGAAAACTTCTAATGAATTTCTCAGTGAATAATTGGGTAGTGGTTTGCTTTCAATTTTGTTTAAAGCAATTGGAAAGCTCCTGATTTTTGTTTCCAAGGATTTGTTACCCAATTATTGGAGTCATTCACTTTCTCATTACCGTCCCCAGGATTTCCAGTTATTCCTTTGTTTGGTCCCCAGGAGGTTTTCAAATGCAGGCAGTGCAGGATTTGAAGTAATGGTTGGGGAGAAGTTCTCACCAATCTATGGCAAATGGAAGAACTAGTTGGAAACCAAGAATAAGCATGACATCTCAATTGCACTAGTTCTCAGGAAAGCAGTTTTAGAAAGCATATTTGTAGAAGTTGAGGGTCTAGAAATTAGTTTTCATAAAACTATCTGCATGAGACCCTTGGGAAGTTTTTGCATGAAGCTGCAGCTCTACGATACACTCTAAGCAAAGCCTTTCAGATTTGGCTGATAACAAGCTGAAGACAGAAATGAAGGAATTTAGAGAATGACTTTCAAAACAATAGCCTGGAGTTTAAGTCTATTGTCTTGTTCCTATTTTGAATTTCAGAAGCCAAATATTAATTCCTTTTTTCCATTCCTTTTGTAATATCTAAACAGTGCCACACTACCTATAACCAGGGTAGATGGAAGACAACTGTCTCTTTATCGTCCTCCAATGGTCAGGAATAAGTTTGATGATTACAAATTCAGCTTTTTTTTTAAAGTCAGGATCTTACTCTCTCACCCAGGCTGGAGTACAGTGACATCGTCACAACTCCTGCAGCCTCCTGGGTTCAGGCGACCCTTCCATCTCAGACTCTCAAGTAGTCAGGACTATAGGCACGCATTACCATGTGCCCAGCTAATTTTTAAAATTTTTTTTATAGAGTTGAGGTCTTACTATATTGCTCAGGCTGGTCTCAAACTCCTAAGCTCAAGCAATCCTCCCACCTCAGCTTCCCAAAGTGCTGGGATTACAGGAGAGAGCCACCATGCCTGACTAAATTTAACATATTTTTAAACAGGATTACTATATTATATAACATGTTTTATAACCATCCTTAATAGTATTTTGGATTATGACCCTTATAAAATTATGTTTAACATTTTATCTTTAAGCCATATGTTTACATGCAGTCATCCTAAAAGCAATGAGTAGTTTGGTCATTTTAAAAATCTCAAACACTTAAGCAATCTTTGTGATTTCTCCTGTTAAATTAGTAAATATTATAGTAGTAAATCTCCACACATTAAATTGAGCAGTTATTTTAGTCTAGTCCATTATTCATGATACTCTGGGATAGATTCAGTGGTTCCAAATCCTAGCTCCCACACTAACTATCTGTGCAGCTTTGGGCATGTTACTTATCCTTCCTGAGCCTCAATTTCCTCACCTGTAAAACAGAAAATAATAATAATAGTAGTTGTCTCTTTGGGCTGATAGGTGGATTAAATGACATCATGTATGTAAATACAAGAAACATGGTAAATATTAGTTGTTCTTGTTGGCTGTTGTTATTATTATTGACTAAGAGAGATGATATCCAAGTCACTAGCCTGCTGATGCTAAGAATTTCTTCAAACATATATCTGGCTTTCTTGATTAAAAAAAAAAGGCAACCGTTAGAATTAAGAGCTGAATTTCTCTGAGTCTTATATAGACAAACTAGAATTAACCTGACTCTTCTCCTTAAGCTGTAGATGTTGATCCAGGAAGGAATTTAAGTTTCTTGAAATTATACTACAGCTCCCCTATGCCACCTTTTTTCTTACAAATTTTGCATTTCTTCTCTCAAAAAATATTCAGAGTTGCCTTGGTTAGGATCCTGAGTTAAAAACCCCTAGTTTTATGCCAGCCTTGTGAGACAAATGTATAGCTAGTTTATACTTCTAATTTGGGGTAATCTGAATGCTATCCATGCATTAATCAAATTTGTATTTATTTCAAATGATTTAGCAACTCAAAAAACATGTATCTTTTCTCCTATAAAATTGTAAACAATTCACACACTGTTCCCAGTGTCGACAATCAGGTGTGAGTCTAAAGTATCTTTCAGTTAAAGTTGTTGGGGCTTAGATAATGGCTTCCCAAAAGTCAGAAGTTCCAACCTGAGGAGAAACACATTTCTTGTGTTCTCCCCACCACTCTGTGATGCCACTCCATGGTCATGCTATGAAGCTGGCATTTTCATTCAGTTGCACCTAACTAGATTTTTTAAGGAAAGAAGCAGTGGAGGACGGGGAGTTACCATCACAGTGTCCATACTAATTCCTAGAATCCTTTCAAGATTTAGGATCAGCAACAGTGCAATTTGGCTCTGAGAATGCTAATTGAAAGTCCTCCTCAGCAATTCAGTTCTTTTCCCTCTTCCTTTCTTTAGTCAGCAGGGTCCCATGGTGACCGGTTTTGAAAGAAATCATCCCCTTCAGCAGTTACCTAGCACCATGGCAACCGGGACGTCAGCAAAACAGGATAGACCCTGCACAAAACAGTTCCAACTAGGCTCCCTGCCTCTCTAATTCATCCCTGCCTGAGGCCTAGGGTTGGGGCTAAAGACATCTAGACTTGTGCACCCAAGAATTTCTGTTTCGTTCTGCCCATAAGCATAGATATATGGGCATATAGTAAACTATGTTATAAAATCTCTCCCCCACCCTTAAAAAAAAAAGCAACCAAAAATCATATTTAAAGGATGAGGATGGGTGATGGATGGAGACAGGGAGGTAGGTTATGGGATGGTCTTTTTTGGGTTTAATGAAGTATAAAAGTTATATTTGTGTTTATAAGGTAACAGTAAGTTGATAGTAGGAGAAGTTAGAGCCTTAAATATATGCTGTGGTTTAGATTTAGGCACAGGACCTCAGGGAAATATTTTAAAAATATTTTTGTATACCTGAGAGTGAAATAGACAAACAGTTTTACCAAGCACAGTAGAGAGTGCAATGCTGTCCGTGGTGCTGAACACTCGACTGTTCCAGATGTGCTAAGGGGACCCCAGAGGGAGGTTAAGGAACATCTTGTCATGTCAGGGTACTGATGACAAGAAAGAAAGAGGGGATAAGGAGAAAGCATCATTTCCCTCCCATACTGAGCAACTTTGAATTCTCAGGATAAAATCTTCAGATGAAAAACAAAAAAGAAAGTAGAGAAGACTGGTGGTTTGGGTGGTTGAATCTTCCCCTTTTCATATGGAGATTTTTGTTCTGAACCAATCGGGTCAGAGATTTCTACTGCTTTGCTCCTGAAAGGAAAAGTGGGGGAAGGGACAGAGAGAAGATGGCCACATTCTCCCTTTGAGCCACATGATCCGTTTCCCATGTGACACATTCCAGAGCCTTGGAAAGGAGAAGGGAGGGCACCAAGAGTGGGGCTGGGGGTGGGAAGATGGCTTAACAGTCTCCCCTGCACAGCGGCATCTTGTCTCCTTAACAGGAAGCAGGCTGTGAGCCAAGGAGAAGGCAGAGGACAGATATGAATGTGTTCCCAAGCTTTCCTGGTGGTCTGTGGCATTCTCCAAACTCTTATGCAAGGGCTATTCCTGACCAAGAAGACCTAAGGAAACCATCTCTGAAATCAAGTCCGGATGAAGGTATGTGATAGAGATCTCGTGGTATCGCGACTAAAATTTGGCACCGAAGACATAATACCTTCTTTTTTCCTAGGCAATTTGGAGATTTTGTCCTAGCTTAGATGTTTGTTAGAGGCTTTCGATTTGTTACAGGTGCAGAAAAGATGCCTAGGTAGCTCTGTAATATGAATAATTTACCAGAGTACATGCCTATTGAAAAATTGGATGGAAATTGTATTTAGTGATAATTAATGAAACAAAGCACTCATTGATGAAAAGGATTTTTTTTTCCTTGAATCCTGGAAAGAGGGAACAAAATTACTGAAACCGACTATGGTTCATCGTCACTGCAATAAAATTGTTTCATTCCTTTTAACTGCTTATTCAATGCCCAGGTTCCAGAGGTTATTGGCAGTGGCATAGGAAACCCCAGTAGGCAGGCGTGCTGTTCCTTTGTGCTATGTGATCGCCTTGCTTCTGATGCTTCTGGTACCACGAGTGCATGTGATTGCTCCCAGCTCTGGTTTAGGACAGTAGGCTGCCACAGAATTTCATATCTTACAGAATTGCTACCAACAAGGCCCTGGGGAAGTTCATCAAAGGAATCTACCAAAATAATCTGCCACGATTTTGACTATATCCAGCACAAAGAGAGTACTAGCACATTTAAATTTTATTTTGTCTTTATTTAACAAATAGTTATAAATTTCTTGCTGTGTACAAGGCACTGTTCTAAGCACATTTAATCCTTACCTCAACCCTCTGAGGGGGTATTATTACGCTCATTTTAGAGGTGAAGAAACTGAGGCACAGAGAAGTTAGGGAACTTTCCCAAGGTCACACAGATAGCCAATAGTGAAATCAGAATTTAGACTCAAGAAACTTGACCCCAAAGCCTATGTTCTTAACCACTGAGCTATACTACTTGTCTGCTTGTATTACAAATGATGTCAGCAATTGATTTGGTTACAGATTTTGTTCAGTTCATGCTACTAGAAGCTTGAATCAGTTTGCCTGGCTAAAACAGATCCCCAGAGAAATCTATATTTAATTCTGAATTATCCCAGTAGTCACATTCTGTACCCCCAAATAACCCAGTAAGTAATTGCCTGTTCTATTTCCCTTGTGGTGTATAGATATCTGTAGTAAAACACTATGTTACTATGGTGCTCAAATGATGTCTAGAGGAGGAAAATAAATCTAGAATTACATCATGGGCTTTTTTTTTTTTTTTTTTAAACTGAACCTAGAAACACTCTTCTATCCTTAGAACCTAGCCAAGACTATCCTAACCATATTGTTTTTAAAAGCCCTTACGTGGTTCTCAAAATGAAATAGATGAAAAACTTCTAAAATTATACATGTAACTGTAATATTAGACTGAATGAATTTGTTGTTTTAAAATAGTATATTTTAAGGGAATAGATCTTTCCTTGCAAATTATTTTGGGTTTCTAAGTAAAAAAGGAAATTTGTTAATAATTTTTTTAACTGCTAGAAATTTCCGAGATGTAGATTTTTCTCCCTCTGACTTGCATAGATTTCCTTCTGGCCCTTGATAATAAAAGATGACTGATCTGATTCTTATAAGCTATGGGAAGAGTAAGATTAGTCACTGGGTCTAAGATACAAAGAGGAAGACAGGAATCTCAAATGTGTAAAATTCGTCACTAAATGAGTTGTTTCCCTTCGGGGTTTCACTGCACAGTACTTTGAAGAGTTTGTCTGCTACGCTAGTGAACTTTAGTCTTCCAGCTTAAGCCTTTGGTCTCTGCCAAAATCTACATTTCCCTGGGACAAATAACACTTTTGTGCTATTGTAGTCACCTGAAGTGAGCTTTTTGAGAGAAGGGGGCAGTATCCTTCTATCTCTGGATTTTCAGCACTAGCACCAGGCCTGGTTTATGGTGAGCTCTCTATACTCTTGTGAATGAAGATTGGGAAGACTCAAGATTCTGACAGCATTCTTCTGGTGCCAGTTTGGGGGCCCGTGCCTATTTTGTTTTGCATGTATTTGTAGGGAGGACGGTGAGGAGCCAATTGTGTAGTAAGAACTTGGCAACAGTTAAAGTTATCCCTGAAGTTTATAAAGTTAGACTGGCCTTGGGGCAGTGGCACATTAAAGTGTAGGAATTATCCATAAATAATCTCCTGGGGATTGCCAGTCCCCTTGACATTTTTATTTACATTTAGAATGACATTTTCCTGATATTTTTACTCATATCTAGATGGAGGCACCCCTAACAATGTCTTGTCCTCTAATGTTTTGCGTGGCCCTGTCTCCTGATGTTGAAACAGTCCACCTTGGATTGAGAGTGAATGTTTTGAGAAAGTCAACTTCTACTCAAGGCAGTCCTCTCCTAATCCAGTCTTGCACCCAGTTCCTAGAACTCTGCACAGAAAGCCCACAGGATTGCAGGACTCCTCTCTAGGGAACCCTGGGGTCTTGTGTGTCAGCATAAGTTAGGGCCAGACTGGCTTTCCCAAACCATGGCAGTTAGAACCTGAGTATACAAAACATTGTCTTAGGGCATCTCGAAAGCTTGGTCAGGATTTAAATTCAAGTTAGCAGGCTAACAAGCCTTAAAATGTCACTCTCTTGATAACATACACAAACATAACCATCTAATTAAATCTAAGGAGAGGAAGTGGGGCTTATGGGTAAAGTGTGGGTCCTTGAATCCTATCATCTCATCCTCCTTACCTCCAGTATTACCTGCTGTGCGAGGTGCACAGAAGTAACAACCCTCCTAGAAGCACAGGCTAGCTGCGTGAGTGCTGCATGCCCACCGCACACATTCAGGGATTCTCTGATAAGCAGGGCTATCAGAGACATGGGTCTGGAAACCTGGCTGGGCTTCCTACGCATCCCTCTGGAATCTAAAAGGGGGCAACCTACTCAACCAGCTGAACCGGAGAAGATGGAACAGAGGTAGAGAAATTACAGAGGCTTCCCCTTGAGGAGAGGCCTTGCCAAGTACGCCATCAACTTGGAGGACAGGAGTGAAAGAGGAAATAAGAAGAGGGATTACGGTAAGCACGGGTGGTGGATATGAGAAAGTGATGTCTGGGTCCTGCTTTTCAGGCACAGCAACTTGCCTGCAAGTAAACCCTGCCAGCTGAGTCAGGCTCCACCAGAGCAATCATCAAGTCCCTTCTCAGGGTCTGGACATAGGCAGGGGAGGGAAGAACAAGAAGGACCAGAGTGCAGATGCAGTTTATTCTCTATGAGCCAAGGCAAAAAATGGAATGAAATGGGGCTGTCCTCTCCAAGAGGACAGCTTGAGAAGCAAAAGGGGAGTTGCCACCATGAATATGTTTCCCTGCTTATAGAGTCATCTTCCCGTGGCAGGAACTTTAAAGCAGTCATCTCCTGGAGCCTTCCATTCAGCACACTCTCCCAGGAACTGGATGTCTGTCATGCTTAATCCTCACAGCAACTCTCTATGAGACGCATTAAAGCCCCAAGTTTGACTGAGGAAACTAAAGCTCCAAGAGGTTAACCTGCTTGAGGTCACACGCAGCAAGTAGAGCCAGGTTTTGAATCCAGGTCTTTCTAATTCTGTGCTCTTTCTACTGTATCATAAGTGAAGTTCTTTTCTCTGCATTCTTTGAAAACATGTTTTGAATATTATAATAATACAAATACCATTCTAGAAAATTTGAAAATAAAAATCAGTCATGATCTTACCACCTAGAAACAATCACTGTTGACATTTTGGTGTATTTCTTGGTCTTTTTCAGTGCGTATAATAACAAAAGCAAACATTTGTTGTGCACTTACTTTGTTCTTAGCTTCTTGTGTACTATATTTTATTCTCATAACAAATCAGTAAGGTGGGTACTATTATTTATCTAATTTTACTAAAGACACTCAGTAAGCACAAAGATATAAAGTAATTTGCCAACAGCTACACAGATGATAAGTGATTTGAAACACAGGCTGGCTTTCTCAGCCTCACTATTACTGGCCAGATAATTCTTTTGTGTGTGTGTGTTAGAGTCTTACTCTGTTGCCCAGGCTAGAGTGCAGTAACATACTCATGGCCACTGCAGCCACCTGTTGGGCTCAGGTGATCCTTCCGCCTCAGCCTTCCAAGTAGCCAGAACTACAGGCTCACGCTACCACATCTGGCTTATTTTTTATTTATTGTAGAGACAAGGTCTCACCAAGTTGCCCAGACTGGTCTCAAACCCCTGAGCTTAGGCAATCCTTTCACCTTGGCCTCCCAAAGTCTGGGATTACAAGGCTTGAGCCACCGCGCCCAGCTCAGATAATTCTTTGTTGTGGTGTCCTGTTTATATTGTAGCATGTTGTTGGTGGCAGTGGTTTTACTGGGGTTTTTTTGTTTGTTTTTTGTTTGTTTGTTTGTTTGTTTTTGAAGTCAAGGCTCACTCCATTGCCAAGGCTGGAGCGCAGTGGTACAATTATGGCGTACTGTAGTCTCGATCTGCAGGGCTCAGGTGATTCTTCTGCCTCAGCCTCCCAAGTAGCTGGGACTAAATGCACAACACCATGTCTGGCTAGTTATTTTTATTTAGTCTCACAATGTTGCCTAGGCTGGCCTCAAACTCCTGGACTCAAGCAATCCTCCTACCTCGGCGTCCTGAAGTGCTGGAATTACAGGTGTGCGTCACTGCACCTGCCCGTTACAGAATGTTTAGCAGTATCCCTGGTTTCTGCCTACCTGATGTCAGTCACACTTTCCTTCCTTCCCCGGTCGTGGCAACCAAAACTGTCTCCAGACACGGCCAAGTGTCCACTGGGATGCAGAATTACCTTTAGTTGAGAACCACAAGTCTAGAGCCTATGCTCTCAGCCACTCTACTATATAGATTCTTTGTATTTAAAATGCAAATGAAGTTTTGTTTGTCTACATCTAAAGAGGAAAATAAATCTTAAAATTTAGGGGCAGGCTATGAAAACTTGCCGGAATGTCAGTGGCTTTATTGACCATAAGCAAGAAATTAGAAAAATGCTTATTAGTCGATTCACAACAGAGACCTGGTTATAAGCTCACC